TCGGAGCCCCCGGCTGGTAGTGGTTAAGGGTCATTGTTCTGGTTCTTGGATATCGTAGAAAGTATACACTGGTATACATGAACATCTACTCATTTGGCTGGTAATTTGCATTAATTCATTGCTCTTGGAAATTAGAGGACGTGTTCTGAACTTACCAAAACAGATGTGACAGGGACACGAAAAAAGATTGGACCCCTAATTTATAGAATGACCCACATCAAAGGCGTGTCAAAAAGAAAATTGCAACAAAGGTTAAACATTTTTTTTGTCAGTTTTCACTTTGGGAGGGATTTCTGTTCGAAGATTAGGGAGAGAGAGCCAATTAACCTGCAGATTTTGTTTACCACTGCCGCAATTTTAGTATACAGTTATTGACAAGTTATCTAGCCAAATTTCGACATCTGTGTTTTTTTGTGAGGTACCTCTGCAGTGGTTTGTTAATTACAGATTTTGCCTCTGAAATCTGAGTATTTCTGAGGCCATAAGATGATAGAGAAAGTCCATTTTCTACTTTGGATTATTAAAGCTCAACATTTTTATTTGCAAGAACATTCGGTGTCTCTTAACTCTCGGGACAGTAACCTCTTCATATGTTCTGTCACACTATAGTCTGCCCCCCGACCAACTGTGCCCCGACTGGATGCCGTTACGGTCATGCCGTGGATGAGAACGGATGTGAAACTTGTAGCTGCAATCCTAGCCCTGAAGGTAAACTTGCATTGGATTCACAGTCAACTCGACTCATGACTCACCATGACTCGGAATGATTGTTTGGCATCAAAGGCTCACACATTAAGTTCAGTTGATCCTTGAATTGTAGTCTCTTGTTGTTTCTCACTTGCAGAGCCCTGCGAACCTGTTAAGTGCCGACGTCTTTGTCGCTACGGGTTCAAGATGGAGAATGGCTGCCCCGTCTGCAAGTGCAATTACCCTCCGATAAGTATGTTGTCTTACCACTGTTTGTGCTGGTTAGAACCAGCTGTTGGGAAAATTGGCCACTGATTAACAAAAACCAGGGCAAAATTTTGTGGCACTGTGCTGAGCTCTTGAGAGATTCTCAAAACAAATTTATTACCAATCAAAGGTTTATAGGTCTACACTGTTACTGACTGGTTCTGTGCTGTGTGCTGAGTGTGGCAAGGACTAAGCTGTGAAGTTGTTACAGTAACTAGTCACAATTATTACCTTCTCCTCTTTTGTTTCCAAAGCAAACTAAGCCAACAAAAACAAAAAAAGAAAATCCTGGTGAATGCGCATACGAAAGTTTTTGCAAGCACTGTTCAGTTAAAAAAATTGCATAAAATATACATAAAAATGTATCCAAACCCAGTACACTGGGGCACAGTTCTATTGCCACAAAAGCCAGACACCGTACCATTTGCTGTGTTATTCTTTTTTCGCTTTTCTTTGTAAAGAAAGATTCGTGACGGTTCCAAAATGATAATACAGTGCCAAATTTTCTCCACCTTTGCAGAGTTCTGTGTTCCTGTGCAGTGTAGAATGTACTGCAGATACGGTTTTGCTGAAGATGAAGATGGCTGTGAAATCTGCCAATGTAATCCACCTCCTGGTAAGTTAAGAGTGCATGCAGTACACCTACATGTGGCATGTCCCTACAGATAACTGAGCATTCGGAGTTAGAAGTCATTACTTCAGAGGCACCATGCTCCTGCACCTCATGCTTAGAAAGGAACGTCTAAATGTAGCACCACTGATGCACCCTAGTGATAGCCCGCGTCGTTAGCAGGACCATCACAAGACCAGACTCCAGACAAATCACGAGTTGCACAATGAACAGTGACCGAGGAATACTTTTGCTGTAGTTCATTGAATAGCCTGTGACTTGAATTTAGACTGGAGGTCTTGTGTTGGTCTTGTGACAGTCTTGTGGTGTCTTTTGGTGTCTTGTGATGGTCTCAGGAGGTCTCAACAGCCTTTTCTCTGGTACGTCTGTATAAAAATGCATGTTTGCTCTCTTCTTTCTGATATTGATTGAAAAAGGCTCGGCTTTATTTGTTAAGGGGACTTTTTGCCTTGTGCATTTGGCGGTTTTTTAATTATGTGCTTGCTTCTGTTTGACAAAACGGTGCAGATGTGGTGTGCGAAAACGGCAAAGTCTACGAGCAGTGCGGCAGTGCGTGCCCAGAGACCTGCCAGAGCATCCGCAAAGACGAGGACGTTGCCTGCCCAGCTGTCTGTGTTGAGGGCTGCTTCTGCCCCCCCGGCACCATGCAGGACTCGGACGGGATGTGCATCAAGCAGAAGCAGTGTGGTTGCCTGTTTGACGCTGACAGCAATGGCGAGAAGGAATACTACCGGGTAATGGACTGTTCTGGCTTTGCTCCGCCCACCTTAGCAACCGAATGACAATGGCATTAGCTCGGTGAAGTTCAGGTTCATCTCTGAACACACATACTTGCCCTTGATTTGGTTGATATTTACATCTGAATGAGGATGTCCATACGATGTAATCCATCTGAAACTGCTTTTAAGATTTTGTTTTGATTTTATTCAAAACTTTACACAAAGTTGCATTTTACTTTTGAAAAATGATGCACAGCTTTGTTAGGCCTATTGGCTTGTGTGCAGTTTTTTATTCTGCATGTGACCGAGGTTGGCCCAGCCAGTAGCTGACAACCACTGTTAGTAACTGTCAGTACGTTTTCACAGTCACCTCACCAAAAACACCTCCTCCAATTGGTCAGTACACACTTGCAATTGACAGGTTGGAAGGTCCTTTGGATTCATTGCCAACGTTTTGACTGAATGAAAAAAATTTGCACGGAAGTAGGATTAGAACCTCTGACCTCCGGAGTATCGCACTGGTGCACTGCCAACTGAGCTATCCAGCCCTGTAGTTGGATATTTGCCAAGTTATGCCAACGGAGGTTGATTTGGAGAGGGGCAGCAACAGGGTGGGTTGACTTGTCAACACCCCCCCACACCATTCAATATGTAAATTTTTTACATATAGTAATAGTAGTTTAGGGAAAAAGTCTCCTTTCCTGTATTGACACATAAATCTTCGTTCATTGTTTAAAAAAAAAAGCAGATATCCCATATCTGCCACTTACAAATCCAGCAAGATCACAGTAGTATTGCATTCTGAGAAATGGTAAATGGAGATCACTCAGAAAGGATAGAGCTTTTTTGTTGAAATGAAATCGTCAGACAGCCCAGAAGAGGAAACTGACTTGTTTTGTTGTTATACAAACATAATGGATGAAAAGGGGGGTTTCACTGGTAAGTTTCAAAGTCACATCAGCTTGAAACAAATCCAGACACGTGATCACTGTTCTTCTGGAAAGCCCTTGGTAGTGACGAAAGCGTTGCGCCAACTCTTGTTGAGGAAACCTGTCAAGGATAGTTTGCACAGAAGTTAGCACATAAGATATTGGCCTTCCTGATGTGGAGTGATTGTGTAACCAGGATTTGTTTACCACCACGGTACTGATGTTGTTGCAACTGACTTACCCAGCACTTGGACAATAACTTGTAAATGTGACCCAACCCTTCAAAATGAGTCACAAGTCGACACACCTACTTTTGAGTAGGCAAGCTTAAACCAAATTTTGTCTCCAGAGAAGTCAATAGGATAGCAGCTTTCATTCCATTGGCCTACAGAAGGCCTGGAATTAAACATGTTAGACTTATCTTAAAGGAAGAGCTTTTCATGTTCTTTCATATGTGTCATAAAAATAAGCAAGTAAAATATATACTTTGACTTTGGGATTGGGTGGCACAAGGTGTTAATAATTAATCAGTGGAGTAGATTTTACTTAGCAATGAGAAAGCATGTGGCCTAGTGGTTATGGTTTGTAGCTTCTGGTCATAGGGTCAGGGGTTCAAATCCAGCTAGTGGCAGCATGTTGTGAACTTGGGCAAGTCACTTTACTTCTTATATGTCGCTCCCCACCCAGGAGTAAATGGGTGCCTGTGAGGAGAGACATGGTCATTTTAAGCCATTTGCGTCAAAATGGCAGCATCAGGCTAGTACACTCCCTAGGGAGCTGAGATGGTTTCAGGAATGTTCAGATGATGTGGGCATAGTGTGCAGGGATGATGATAATACAGCGCCTCAGAATAGTTTACTAGATGGATGGCCCTTAACAAGTGTTTGTTATTATTATTTATTATTAGAATGTCAATTTTCACAAGCAAACAGTCAATTCAGGAATAAATTAAATAAGTAGAGGTTTTTAGATAAACTGAAGACTACATCAGTGAAAGTCATCTATGATAAAACACTTCCCAAACAATGCAGACCTGAAGATTGCATTGGTCAACATTTTCATTTGTGTGCTGAATGTACTGGGGAAATCACACCAGATGACCTCAGCGGTTAATAAGCCATTTGCGAGTTAAATTTGAATAAAATCTGGTACGCTGAGTTATTTAATTGCACACAAACGTAACAATTTTAATTCCCCAGACGAAAGACACTGTTGCTATACCTCGTGATTCGAGGCAAGCTTTGCATAGCGACAACCATCTCTGGAATGGACTGGTTCCTTTTGTGCCCTTCTTATCCATTGAGAATAGTGCATTGTGGCAAGGTGTCTCTTATGTAACTAAGCAAAAGTTTGCCCCAAATCATGAGGTATAGCAACAGTGTTTTTAGTGTGGAGAATTCAAATTGCTATGTTCCTGTGAATTTAAAGAACTCAGAGGACCAGATTTTATTCAAAGGTCACTCGCAAAAGGCTAATTGAAGTGGAAGCTATTGGTAACTTGAACCAAATGTCCTCTGTTCTTTTTGGCAGCTGGGAGAATCCTTCCACGTGGGCATCAACAAGCGCCAGCGGTGTCAGTGTCGTCGCAATGGCCTAGTGATGTGCACACTCAGGAGAAGGCACTACCACCCTTGAAAAGTACCACACGAAAACAAGACCTGAAATGGTGGAGAGTTATGTCGGCAACCCAAATTAGCAGACAAACGATATAGGTTTAGTTTTTAGGGGGGGTTGGTAGTGGTAGATCAAATGTAACCAAATATGAAGCTCATTTTTCTGAAATATAGTTTGTACCAACTAAACAAGGGATTGCCGATGAACTGAAACAAATCAGGTTTTTTATATGTAGCAACTTGTATAACAAATATCATTATTGGTTCGTTATATTTTAGGTAGTCCATGATTGGCAAGTTGTGGCTATATTCACTAGTAAAGGAATATGTAAGCAACAAAATAGAATAATCCATTCAGCCCTGTTGACTGCCTGTCCGGATGGGGAACACATGCACCCCTCTGTTGCTATACTGTGTGTCTAGCCACGCACATTACAAGGGCATGCGTGTAAGCCTATCATCAGACATCCTGCTACACTGTCATCGCTGTGATTGTTTAGCTAATGCAATTACAAGTCTGGCTTACCATTGTCAAATTGGGAAGATTGACGTTCACCCATGGGTGCCAATTTCTTGACTCTGCTAAGCGCAAAAGTAATAGCTTACCATAGACAATACTTAGCAGAGACAAGATACAGTACACAATTCCATTAAACATTAATTGTTTGTATTCTTAGCAGGTATTTGCTCAGCAATGTAATTCAGAGCTCAGTGAAATATGGCGCCGGAATTGAGAAATGGATGGGAACAGAAAGTGAAATAACATATATGATATGAATCTTCTTATAACGGTCTGTACACTGCAGAATCAGTTTTAGGGTGTTTTTCAGAAAAGGGAATTCCTTTTATAATATTGTTTACTGGCTTAGTGTAGTTAAGGAATCTTTTGCGGAGAACTTCATTTGTCATAAATAAATCAAAAGAGAGTGTTTTGAGTGGGATAAATGATCTTTATGAATGTTCTATCGCTATTATAGTTTGTTGATTGCTCTAATGTGTGGTTTTTATTCCTGGTAGTTGAAAACTACTTTTACTTTTCATAATGCTTCATGTGTGTGATGAATTAGATCTTCAAAGATAAGCTGTGTAGACTAGGAAGATGCATTGTTGAAGAGCTGATCAACTATCATACAGACAATAATAGGGCAAAGAGCCTAGTAGGTGAACTTGGACACCATATTAAAGTTGAAAAGTTAACAATTTTATAAGTGAATGTATGTGGTAGATCCAGGCTTAGTCACTTTCATGAGTAAAGTGGAAGCAAATTTTACAATTGTATGAAACAAAATTTCTAGATTCGGTCACCTGGAATTAATCATGCTGTACAATATTTCAATTGTCTAATAGAAAAGGTATCATCTACTTTCCTTGTTTTAGTGGGGGTTTTCCATGTCGAACATTCAGATGCCAGTGAACAAATCTTCACAGTTTTACTCAACTGAAATGTGAAATAATTTAAAGATTTTGCCCGGTTAGTTTTGATACCACAGATCTTTATTGCATTGGACCTAATAAATAACTCTATTGACTAGTGTTGAACAGCTCAAATCAGTGTTGAGGGGTTTATTTCACTTATCCCCCTCCCTTCCAGTACACTCGCCTTGCTATTGTTGGCTCTTTTGTATCAGGTATATCGGTCTTTTTCTCAAACACCTACCCTGAGCAAATGTACTTTCTTGAACTCTGTGTGCAACTCATTTTATTTGGAGATAGTTGGAACAACTCTCCACTGACCGATGTCGCGTAGCGCCGCTGTGAACTTTCACTTACGTTGATGGGTTTCCCATTCACCAACCTTTAGCATGTGCGTCTTTGTATCAGATTTTATGGGAGTGATGGGCTATTGAATCATCCCCCCACACACACTTTTTGTGGTGAGCAAAAAATTAAAGCGGATTGTGTAGTCTTTTTTCAGACTTCCAGCGACTAAAATGTGTTCAATCTCACTCAAAAATGGAAAAACAGTTTTTAAGCCATAAATATGCCCTTCTGTGAATACATATTACAGGTGTACATCAATATCATGAGCATCGACCTGTATACAGTCATGGTGTCACCCCCCCCCCCGTTTTCAAATTTTCATGGTTGGGCAAGTCATCCCCCACCTGTCCCCATCCCTCATCTCCAACAACTTCCGACACAGATTTACGCCACTGATTGGCGGAATTGGTAAAAACTGATTACGCAAAAAAGTTCCGTTTCCTCAGTATTTCCTCGTCAAAAGAAACTCAGTGCATTACATGCATGCGTTTGCAACGATTTTGTTTGACGTGTTCGCTTTTGTTTATTTTGATTTTTAAAGCCCACTGGACTTTTTAATTGGCATTATCTTAAAGACATTAGCGCAGTAAACGAAGGTGTCAAAAGCTCATACCCCCACTGACAGTAGTGGCTATGTTTTTAGGTGCCGCCACTTCACAGTTTTATCTATTTTTTTATCATTATTATTTTTTTCTCTCTCCTTTCCTTTTGTATCAGTGATCTATTGTTGGAAATGAAACCCGCACCATTGGCGACACAACGGCCTTGATCCTACGTTGCTTTCCTATCCTCTCTATTTTGTCAATGACGCAGCTGAAATTATTCGATCGCGACTTTCGGTGCATTGTGCAAAGTGCGCCTACAGGTACGGAGTCCCCAAAGGGACAGCGGGAGAGACAAATCAAAGGACAGAAAGCAAGCAAACGAGTTTCAACACATACATCCTTTCAAAATGAGATTTCATTTCATCAAAATCATTCTTCGCCTTAAAAATTTTTCGGGGGCTTCCTCGAAATGATACTAAATTCCGTCAAAATAATCACTGTTACAAACATGCGCGGGTTTAGCATTTAAACACTTCTAAACACTTGAACTCTTTTTTAAGTTTGTCGCTCTATCAGTTTTGAAACACGTATACGTGCCAAACAGGCTTAGAATATCAACGGATTATGTTTAGTGATTGAAATTTAGGAATTTGACTTCAGCTTCCAAACTTAGTAAAGCCAGAATGACTGATCTCAGAACATCTCCCATCTGCAAAATACGCCTTGACCTGCTTTTTTTAGTTGAGATTACATCTCAAACCGTCAAGGTAGGTATTTCTATGGAGCAAAACATTATTAGGGAATACTTGAAAATAGGAAATAAAAGGAAATAACATATTCAGGGAACGAAATATTCCCAGAAAAGGAATGTGTTTTTAATCACTCGTTTGTTAGTTTTGGGGTTTCTTTATTTTAAATTTGTTTGCTTAGTTCTTTTAGTTTTTGCCTGACTCTTAAGGATCTCTGTATTTAGAAACAAAAGGTGAGTATAGGCCTGCAGCGGCGGGTCCTTCCCAAAAAAGATAACAACTGAATGCTATTATTATCACTTTCAAGCGCGGCATGTATAGGTCCAGAGGAAAAAAATGCCTCGTGGACATCCTCAAACTGGGCCAGATAATTCCAGATAATAAGCGTATTCTACCTTAGCAAGAAGATCGACTTGTAATAAAATTAGGGACAGTTATTTTCAACTATGCGCTGTTTACAACAGTTTCTTAAAATAAAATTTGAAGAAAAATTGAAAGAACAGTTTTTGCTAGCCCCCATATTCCAATTTAATGCTGAGCCTTCACGTCTCTTGTGGCGGCTCTTGATGAGCTAGTTCGGTATTCTGACAGTGCACGTTGTGTACGAGGCTAGGCTATTCGGGAACAGCTACGGCCTACGAGCGCGTGCGATAGTGTATCAGCGGAGCCATATACGCTGATTCACGTGCGCTTTGTTCTTGAAAAGACCTTGGCTTTTTGAAATACCGTACCGTCTGCAACCAGTTACAGGTTAAAGCTTTTACCACGAAGAGTTGGATATACGTTGCAACCGACACAAAATAGGCCTAGATTTCTTTCTTTTTTTCAGGAGATGATTTAATACCAGACACTTCAAGATCAGCAATTTACACGTCCAATTTCATAAATCATCAGCCCAAGGGGGGAGGCTTCAAGTTTTTTAATTTCTGAAAAACGAAGGTATGATATAGGCCTACAAATACATCCTACATACATGTATTATGTAAATCCGTAAATCCCAGTCACCTGAGGGAGGGGGGTTGAGCAATGTCAGCTTTTATGGGGGGGGGGAATTACAGTTATTTGCAAAAGCTTAAGATCACCTGGAATTTTGTTGGTATGGGCTTGCATTACATGTCTGATTGAATTATTACATTTTTACAGCTGCCCATAACATCCAAATAGTGCTATAAGCCATTTGAATCTGCAAAGGCAGGTCGTGTATGACATTTGTCTAACATAGGCCTAGGCGAAAAAAACGGTTTAAGTCATCGGAAACGGTGCAGGGTACACTAACTACATGTATTTGAATGTTAACATTTCAAATCATGGAAATGTAGTCAAATAGCTGTTCGGCCAAATTATAAAGGGTACGTTACACATTGAAACTTCACATAAGTTGCTATGACGGATTTGTTTATTTTTTTTTCCTTCAGGTAAATGCATTTCTTGTGTGTTGTCCTAAACTTTTGAAAATGACTGTAAATTCCGATCCGAGCCCCCATTCCAGCGTACACGCAGGGGCGTAGCCAGGAAGGGGGCACACCCCCCCCCCAAAAATGCCCGGTACCCCCTTCCATGTGCCCCCGCACTAGTAAAATCCTAGCTATACGTCACTGCCTACACGGACCCCGGGGCATCATTGACATACTACACGTCTCCTTCAGATACATTTTTGGAGAAGTTCTGAACAACTGAGGATATGTTACAATTTTCAAAAGTGGATATTTGAGTGATACATAATACCGGCATTTTTAATTGGAAATATTATCCTAATGCACAAAACGCAATGCAGGACTCACTAGTTGGATATAAGCAAGGACGGCAAAGGTAAATGGGTCCTTCTATAAATTTGGGATCCAATTTTTCCCCCGTATATATGGCATATAAATTTCTTAATGTTCAGAACTCATTGTTTAATTTAATTCCAAAATTGAATAAGTAAGGAAAATTACCTGCTAAACAAATAACAATTGTTTGAAATCAATTTCAGTGATACATCCCTTGTCAAATATGTCAGATGATATACATGTCTGAGGTAACAGGGACGGGAAAATGTCACATTTTAGACCCCAAATTTATAGAATGACCCAAATAGCTTAATAAGGATTATGCGATATTTTCAGAAATTGTCCCTTTTTCAAAAGTAGTTTATTCATCTTTGAAAATCTATGTTCACAAATGAGAGAGCGGCAGCACTGACGCGTGGTATGCATGCAAAAGTGGAGTTGCATGATGGTTTAGTGTTGGCCTGGATGCAGAGTGTTTTTCAGTAGATTGGGGAGGAAACTCTTCAGCTGGGCCTAGGCCTGTACTTTGCAAGAGTACGGTTCTCAAAAAATGGCTAATGCAGTTGTAAGTTAGGCCTATTGAAATTTTTGCCAAAGGCTGCTTTTCGACACTTTCAAAAATCATCAAAACTTAATGTGCGAGTGCATCATATTAGTGGATCCCCATTTTCGTTTTTGGCTACGGAAGAAGGATGGACCAACGTAAATGATTCCAAGTCACTGACTCAGTAGGACAGCGACAAGTGCACTTGAGTCCCTCACTGTATGGTATTCCGACACATGCCGATGACTCGTGTTTGTCATCATGTCATACGGATGGGTTAAAAAAAACTTTTGAAGAGATTTCTCCAGGTGCCCTGATGCATGAAAATGATGAAAATGGCAAAAAAATTTAAGTTATACATAAATTGATGGAACTGTTCATTTTGGCAACATAAGCAAAACAAGACAGGAAAACAAGGCCATACTCTGTAGAAAAATGTTCAACAAAATAAACAAACACCCAAACAAACACAAGTTCCACCTAATTCTTACTTCAAATTAATCAAAGTGTCATAACACCCCTCACGGTTCAAAATTTTCTGCGTCGCGTGGCAGACTAACATGCGCATACCCAGCAGGTTCCCAAGCTGCCAAGCACGGCAGTGGTCGGCGGGCTGCCGCTGATCCGACCTGACCACACCACTGATAGTGGTTCAGTTTCAAAACTATTGTGAAACAAGACTTTGCTTTATTTTCCAAACTATTCTAGCCGTAAAATCACCCAGTTTTAATAATTTTGCCGATTTATTCCACGTATAATGCAGAGTAAAGCTCCGTAATTTTGAAAATCCACGTGTGACACAGTAAGATATGTCCACAAGTTCGTAATAAGGGTAACATTTTTACATCATTTACAACCACTAATATTCCTCTGTAAAACTCATATACACTCAACTACATGAACATGTACACATACATGTACATATGGCGCAAGGTCTATTTTTGTCATACGTCACAACACAAAGGCATTCTATTTACTGCCGTTCTCCCTCTGCACTTACGTATGACGAAGTAGGTAATCGCCAAAATGTGTCAAATTTATTGTGTATCTATTAGCTCTGAAAAATGAAAGTTTAATTTTAATTGTTATCACCTAAATTTGGGGAAAAAATCCTCTGAATAACAGTACTGTGTTTATTAAAACACGCAAGATCGATCCGTCTCGGTAAACAAACCAGCGCCAATCGAGGAATTGACCAATGAGGAAATACTTCTTAGAGGGGGTCTGTCAATTGACGCAGCCTAACCCGCCAGTCATGTAAATGAAGTCTGCATTTTTTGTGTGTTGTTCACGGACGTCTATGCACCGTACGTACGATTTGCGTGCGTTCAGTGTGCGTACTGAAATTTACATGTAAAAACATTGCCTCACACACACTTTGCGACGATGATCAATGAAGAAAAGAGTCGCCATTTTAGCCAAGCCTTTCAGTCGAGTATGCTGCCTGTTCCGGGCCGAATGCAGCCCTGAATTGCAGCTTTCACATACAGGAAGCTGAGGGTTGCTCTCATTTATATTGGTTTCGGCATTTGGAGAAAGGAAAATCTGGGAAAAGGTGTGCCACAGTCGAAAAATAAAAGGGTGTATCCGCGATTCCGGGTCGGGCTGACGTGTTTGCAGAAGGAACGTGGCCCAATTGGTCACGTGGTAATTGCGGCTTTTTTTCTCGGATGGTTCGTGGATCGCACGAGCAACTTCTGCATGGTTTGAAAGAATTGCCTTTAACTTCGAGCTTCAGGAGGTGACTGCTTTTCCCAAGAAAGGTGTGTTTCTTTGGAGTTGGAACGTTTATTCGTCGGTTTGTGTCATGGTTTTTGTCGTGTCATGTGCGGAATTATTAAATTAAATGTCGAGTTTTCGCGGGAAAAATGTCAGGAAGTTTTGAGTGTCACGTGTATAATATGAATTGATTGTTGTGGTCATGTTGTTAGTTATGTGAAGCTGTTCAAGAATAAGGGTGCCCAGGGTTGGCCTATCTGAGTTTTAATGTACCCCAACCATTTCAATAAAGTGACAAATGGAAGTGATTTACAAAGTAGCCATTGTTTCTGACATGTCTGAGCTTAGGCCTTACCCAACCTATCCGTCAGGGAAGGCCCCTAGCAGCACATTTCCCTCATTTCATCATTCATGTCTGCATGTCCACAGCCTTGCCTGTAACCTCAGCACAGGAGCCGATGCTACTAGTGCTAGGGTGTTGGCTTGTTTTGATTTGGTATTTTGTGATCATTGACAGATATATGCCATTGTTATTCACTGTTCAGTTGAGAAATGCCGTGTCTGGCAAATTGCATTATTTCATGTAAACAAACAGAGGCTTGTGCATTAACTTGTAATTTTACAACCTGAAATTCATTGCTTTCAAGGTAAAGTATACAAAGAGTTAAATCAAATAAATACTTCATGTTTCCATTATCTGTTGTGCAGTACACATCTATACAGAGAAATAATAACATAGGCCAATACTATACGGACGGCACTTAACACCCTGTGCACAAACCCTATTGGACTGGTCAAAAAATTCTCCAAGTTTTTTCTAAGTAAACAACTTGTTTTTTCCCTTCTAAATTGAACTTTTCTTGACGTGTTATTGCTTTCTGACGGCTAATAGGTCACTGTAGGGAATAATTACTGACGTCCGTATATGGAACTCTTCCCATATTTGATAACACTTTTGCAATTAAGTACCATCTGTATGACTCGTGAATTGTTCTCACTGTTCATTTTTTCTGCATGTTTCATTCCTATAGTCTCAATGCCTTGGTGGTGTGTCGGCCATCTCCAGGCTGTGCTGAATGGCTGCAATGGCTCCAGCCTTGACTGATGCTTCTGCCCATCCTTCAGGTTTCAAGCTACCAATATCTCCCTCTGATCCTGAACGGACTGGGTTTGAAGCAACGCCCAGTGATCCAACAAGCCCTGGGCTGCCCAACGGCCATACCAGTTCCACTCACTCAGTCGACACAAGCCAAACTATTCAGGAAACAGGGTTAGACAAAAGTTTGCTACTTCAAGAAGGGCTTGCAGACCAGTCAGGAAGCAACAACCACAGGTCCAAGATACAACTCTTTCGAACAAACTCCCAACCCCAAGGAGGCGGCAGTCAGTCTGGCACTGGAGTAACATTTCTTGGGAAGGTGGACAGGGGAAAGGTCAGCAGGTCCCTCACCTTTCCCTCGTCGACCAGGACATCTGTCCTGACGAACGGGAGTGACGGCACTGTGAAGGGTATCACGAAGATGAGTCGTTCGACCGTTTCAGGAGCATACGATAAGCAGCAGCCTTGTCAAACAATTGCACCTACAGCTTCAACCATCACCATGCCTCCACAAACCTCATCACTGTCTTTAGCAAACAACACTGATGTGACAGCTAGCAGCTCCACTGCCACAGCAGATTCCTCTGATGCAGACGATGACATGAGGGGTGGGCAAGTAGACTTACAACCTGCTGATGAAACTGATAGTGGTCCCCATCAAGATCTCAGTACCCGCTTTGAGAAACTGGTATCTAAAGTAAGCAGAAAACAAAACATGGAGGACTGGATGAGAGACAGCAGAAGCAGTGACCTGGCGCCTGAACTTTTGGAGGCAGAACAAATAAACAAAATTACTGACGAACGCTCCAAACTAGCACAGCGTGCAAGACAGCTTGTCCATAAGCTCAGACATCTACAGGCACAGCAAATTAGCTCATACTCTAAGCAACAAATTCACAATTTTGTCCAAGAGCAGCACAAGAGGTCAGAGGAAAAAACGACTGAGTTAGAAGAGGGTTGTCCAGATTGCAAGCGGAACCTGGCACTTTCAAATGTACCAAATTCAGATGTCCCTTCAATATCCCAAAAGGGCAGCAGTGCAAATAGTACGTTTGCAGAAGACTCAAAGGAGCAACTTCCCCGAACTTGTGTCCATAAACGGAAGCCTTTACCTGTTAGACCGAGTGGCATTGACCCCTCTGTCCGGGTCGCAGTGAAGACGGCAACCAAACACCTTCAGGCACAGTTGGAGCATGTTGAGGGCTGGGTGGACTCGGATGAAACAGAGAGCAGCTCAGGTGGAGAAAGCTGTGATGAAGGAGACGACACTCTCCCATCCTACACACAAACTCGGCAAAAACACAAAGTACCATTGTAAGTTCTTCTAGTGTGACCATGCATCTTGAGCTTTGTGGTTATTCAGTTGATGGTTGTCCCTTGTGGATGCATATTTATAGCATTAAATCAGTGTTCAGTGAAATCAATAACATTAACATTTATGTGCTGCTTTGTGTTAGAAAAATTCAGCATGTCTTGGTTTGTGAAGGTTTTTCCTCGAGAACTGCTGGTGTCCTTAAATATACACATGTTTTTTCCTCTCCTTTTAAATACGTGTATTTATGAAAATCTAGTTCCTGATCTATTTTGTTTTTCTCAGGCACAGGAGAGCTGTTTGGAAGTGGGCTGTGGAGAGAGCTGCCATTGCTAGTCGGTGGACGTGGCTGCAAGCGCAAGTCTCTGATTTGGAGTATCGCATCAGGCAACAGAGCGACATCTATCGACAGACTCGTGCTAGCAAAGGCGTGGCCATCCTGGGGGAACCTTCATCACCGGAGGATCTGCTTAAAATGCGAGTCATGACGTCAACCAAAACCAATCGCAAGCTGTCTCCGATAGAGGCCAAGATCGCAAGGCTGGGCAGCAGCCAGGAAATGTCCCCCTCTAATTTGTCCACCTTGCTCACTAACGTTGACCAGCAGAGTGCAAGATTAAAGATGTCCCTTCAAAACTGTGTGTCTCCTATGTCAGGGCTTGTGATTCCCCCGTCAGCAGCCAGTACACCAACAGGAGCAAATGGGAAAACACCACTAAGCAAACCCATGAATGGTGTAGTAAGCAGCACAGGTTCACATGGGAATCCTCTGTTAGGTAGCTCAACGTCCTCACCAGTGGGGGACCATAAACAGTTGCCGCAAGGGATAAACTCCTTTCATTCCTCCCCATCTCTCATGCCGGCAGTCCCCGAGGAACATTACTGTGCAAGGACACGGCCCGTGTGGTACTTTCGGAAGCGCAAACTGATCCGAACGTTGAACATTCACAGCTTCAGTCGCAAGATCCAGAAGCTGTCGACTGTGAGGTGTGGCTGCTGTCCGCCCCTGACTCCGTGTGTGATGTGCGGCGGCCGCTTCAATCACGTAGAGAAGCCCAAAGAGCCAGACATGGCCCCACTAAACGAGAGAGTGGCTCAGCTGGACTTTTCCTTCCATCCAGTGCTTTCTTTTACTCAAGGTAAATGGAAATTAACCCTAACCCCCTAGGCTTTTTTACTAGGAACCATCCTCAATCCTCCAAAATCCTCCGATTTTCGACATGAAAAAATTGAATTCAGCCTGAATCCTCCAAAATTTCTTGAAAATGTTTTTTAGAGGTGTACCTACTGTCCCAATCCTTCAAAATCCTCCAGCATTTGCTGTCATTATGTTGAGGCAGTGCTAAGGGCATTCTTGAGCAGTGCAGTTTATTCAAAAGAAATATTAGGTTGAGGTTGTGCTTGACTAAGCAAAAACAACACAAAGTCTAATCCACGACCTTCACGTATGGCATCCTTCGCAATCAGCCATGCACTTACGCCATTCACCCTCAATCCTCCAAAACCGCTCAAAAGATTTTGGAGGATTGAGGAGGGTTAGGGTAAAGCATCCAAATGGTGTCTTTCTGCTATAACAGATCAGTTCAAATTAAGTTCTAAAACAACTTGCGTACAAGTGGCTCCAGCACCTTGGGCCTTAACCTTGTTTCTCGTCGGATATTGACAGAATTTTCTTACGGTTATGGAGGAGCTTTTGTGTTAGGGACAATTGCCTCAACCCTCAGAATGGGGTATTCAAACTTGCACATTCAGTGACCTGTCTTTAATACATGAGATATCATAAACGCATTTCATCTGAAAACAAAGATGTGAAGGTTTTCTAGTTAACATCCATAATTTGAGTCGATGTTGCTTGAAAACTGCCTCAACCATTAACCCTAACCCTCTAGGCCTTTTTACTACGAACCATTTTCAATCCTCCAAATTTCTTGAAAACATTTTTTGGAGGTGTGCCTACTGCTTCAAAATCCTCCGGCAATTCCTGTCATTATATTGAGGCAGTACGAATGGCATTTTTGAGCTGTGCGAAGAAATATCGGTCTGAATTTAAGCTTGACTAAGCAAAAACAACTCAAGATCTAATCTAAGACCTTCATTCGTGGCATCCTTCACAATCAGCCATGCACTTTTGCCATTCACCCTCAATCCTTCACAACCACCCGAAGGATTTTGGAGGATTGAGGAGGGTTAAGGTTATTCTTTTTAATAACACAAACTATTTGGATTCTGAAACTACTCTGATTGTTAAAACTTTGCTGCTGTTCCCTCAGATATTCCACTGTCGATCCAGTTCGAAGGAATGATGAAGAGCAATGAATGGCAGCGCAAGCCAGCACTGTCCAAACAGTCTCCCATGAAGAAGTAAGACCTAAGAGCAAACACTTTTTAACCAGAATCCTGAGTTCACTGAGATCGAACTCTGTTTAAATGTGGCATGATATTGAAACAGTGAATTTAGTGCCTTTATTATCAAATCTAGGTCTTACCAGTTGAGATTTTAATGCATTGTGTGTTTTCGGCCTCAATTGCCATCACAATCGACTCAGTCATACTTTAGTTTGCGCACAACATAATGGCTTTTGCAGATGTGATATGGTTCACAGCCAAAAACAGGTTTCTTCATTGACCCTGCTAAATGCAACAAAACACAGTACATGTACACCTAAAATGATGATCTTGCTTGAATACAACAAATTCAGAGGTGGATTTAGTTTTCCTCTTGCATTATATAGGTTTTCCCAGTTAATTTCGCACTTCTTTTATTTAAAATTGCTTGAACAAAAGTTTTATTTTGTCAAAGAGGGGTTACTGGCCCTAAATGTTGATTCCGATTTCAAAGTAACACCACTGGGTTTCACTTCCAGAGTATTGTAAATCAAGAAAAAACACACTTATTCGTCCCATTCGTCGTCATTTTCATCTCACTCTGGGAATGGCATTGAATCTGAAAAGCAAATTCTTTTTTTGTCATTCATTTTACCGATTTAATCATTAATTTTGTAATAGAGTGCACCATTAAGATGGTTTGAATTAGCTTTTTTTTGGATTTCATTTTTGTTGTAATTCAAAATGGACTAAGAAATTAGGCTGAAGAAATCAGGCATAATAATTGTAACTCACTGTTATTTTACCTTCTCTTGTTAATTAGATTAACCCTCCTTTGGTTTTACAGCACAAATGTGCACAAATGCCCACAGTCACTGGTGAGCATGTATTTTCTATATGGAACTCAAACATGAACAGGTTCAGTGTGTACAC